TATGTGAGGGTGAATGGCTTGTCAGATTCTCCCAGGAGCTTCTGGTTTTCCACACTGGAAGTCTTCGTCCTGAGAGGTCCTCATTCTGGAAAGTCTGGGTTGTTGGTCATCCCTGTATCCTGGAAGGTATGGACTGAGTGCGTATAATTTTCCTAAAGAAGTCTCTCTCTCTCTTTTTTTCGGTATGCATGTGTTGCTCAGTCGTGTCCAACTCTGTGACCCCATGGACCACAGCCCAGCAGGCTCCTCTGCCCATGGAATTTTCCAGGCAAGAATACTGGAGTGGGTTGCCATTTCCTACTCCAGGGCATCTTGCCAACCCAGGGGTCAAACCTGTGTCCCTCGCACTGGCAGGCAGATTCCTTACCACTGCACCACTTGTGGTGGTTTAGTCGCTAAGTTGTGTCCGACTCTTGCGACCCCATGGATGGTAGCCTGCCAGTCTCCTCTGTCCGTGGGAAGCCCCTTTTGGTATAGTTGGTTGCGGATGAATGTTCATGAGAGAACTGCTCTCGTAGCTCCCATAAATTAATGCCCCTTACATAGAGCTCAGGGGCTTTGGGTCTGGGGACAGGAGCGCTGCCCAAGAGGAGCTTTTGCAGGTCCCAGGGCAAACCCCTGACAGAGGGAGAGTCAGACCCCAGGTCACTGCTGGGGAGGGCGGTGGGAGGCGGGAGAAGAAGGGTCTCCATGGGCCAGGCCCAGGCAGGTTCCTGGGGAGCCTGGCACTGGGGCGGATGCAGGCTGACTTACTGATCGGAAGTTTAGGTGCAGATTCAGCTTCTGCCCCTGGGAGGACGGGATGCAGGTTAGAAGCGGCGCAGTGTGAATGGAGAGGTGAGAAGGACCCATCGTACAGGGCATGGAACTCTTGGGGGAGAAGGGATTCAGGCGTGTGTGTGGCTGCGTCACTTTGCTCTTCACTGTCCCAGCGTTGCTTGTTAAGCTGCTGCACCCCGATACAAAAGAAAAAGTTTTTTTTTTTTTTTTTTTTTTTAAGTGGTACAGTGTGGCCCAGAGGGAAATTCACGAATTCCAGCCCAGGTACCTGAGTCATGCCCTGGAATGGAGAGCCAGCAAGGGCAGAAACTCTCCTGATGTGTTTACAAAGAGCCTGAGAACATTCTGTCTTCAAGGAAATACTCTTCAGATTCTTTTATAGTTCATTAAAGAGCAGGAGAGTATGAAAAAATTTCGCCTGAAATCTGAAGTGCCCGATGAGTGGGATAAATGTTTGGCTTTATTTTGGCGGCGTTGAGAGATGCCTTTGATTTCCACTGCTGGCTAATCTTTTCGTTTTCCTGAGTGCAGGTACTCTATTATAAATTAACAAGGGAAGGGAAAGCAACAGTGGGGTGTTAATTGTGTATAATTACTCGGGATGCCGAAGTATTTTACAATTAAGATAATTTGCCTGAAAGTGTTGGTATTTAGCAAAGAGAATTTATGGTGATTCCCTGATTTTCCCCCAATTGCCTGGTAATCTTTGTAACGAGGAAGTAGCAGCACAGTGAGAATTCTGAACTGAAACAAAGCCATACATGAAAGTGCTTAAAATGTATCTATTTGTCTTTGTTTCAGTAGGAATCCAAAACAAAGTCACCTGATTGAGGATCAATAGAAGAGTGAGTGAGGGGAGACCCGTGTTTCTTTGAAGCCAGCGGAGGCGGGGAAATAATCCGCCCAAACAAGGGAGCCCTTTAATTCACAGGCTCCAGCACGGAAGGCCATTGTGAAGTGGGATTTGCTGGGTTTCAGGTTTTAATTTGAACCGTACAAGCAGGTGCAGCGGTGGAGGCAGACATGGTTGCCACCGCCGGCAAGTGACATTCACATTAATCCCGCTTTCTGGGTGTGATCGCAGAGGTTCTGCAGACGCCCCCCGCCACCCCCCAACCCCTTCCACTTGGTTCTTCTCCTCGGCAGCTTCTCTTACCTGGGGACATGGTTTCCTAAGACAGGAAAACAAGCAGAGGCAAGTTCAGTTTTAAATTTGCTAAACAAAACTTCACCCCCAGAAATTTTCCCTTTAACCGTAAAACGACGCAGACGGGAGACAGATTCGAGGAGAAACCATCGTGGAAGGTGCCTGTTACTAAAACAAAGACACCGACTGCGTGACTGTCCCCACCCAGGTGAACAGACCCCAGGTCTGGGCCCCGGCCCAGGGCATGTATAAGGGCTTTCCCTCCCGGACCAGGCTCTGCGCACCCTCTCTGTCACCCTCTCGGTGGTGACCTGGGAGTGACAGCTGACTCAGGGAACTCGGAGTATGTGTTGGTCCTCGCAGGAGTGGATGAGGGAGATGCTCCCCACTGCACTGTCCCCCCGAGGGTGTCTGGACCCTCTGTGCTTCCAGCTGAGACGCACAGAATAGGAGTGACCGAGGCAGGGCCCCCCAGCTCCGACACCCCCCAGCCTTCCCTTTCATTATCCGCACTGACGTTCTCCAGTGCTGACCCACAGCCAGGCACGGCCGGGTCCAGGGGAGGCAGAGGCCGTGGGGCCCGGAGCGCAGAACACAGCAAGGACCACACCCAGCAGAGCTGCAGGGGGTGATGGAGCCGCTTCTGCGTGCAGCCCCCCCGGGCTCAGCTGACTCCCCTCACCTCACTGGGGGCCTCTCAGGGGCCGGACCGATGCGCCGGGCTGTGGTTGTGAATGGTCAGCCCCGCTGGTGATCGTGAAGGACTTTCTGGTTGGAAAGCCATATGCAGAGGCTCAGAGGACGGTGGAGGTGGGTGGAACGTGAGAACCAGCCAAGGGATCTGTCGCTGAGAGAGGTGACCCTGGCATGGTAGGAGAGAAGGGTGCAGATGGCATAGGACAAGTGAGCCAGGCCAAGGTTACCCCGCATCCTGAGGGCTACAAGGAGCTCTGAGCCCATCTCAGCCCCGGGTGGGTGGGGGGAGGGAGAGAGGAGGAGTGTCCAGTCATCAGGGCAACAGTGATGGCTCCGGAGAGACAGGGCTGGGGCCTTTCTGAGAGGAGATAGGAGCCCAGTCTGATGGGAGATGCAGAGAGGAGCAGACCCAAGTGCCTTTCTGTTACTTTTGTTGTTTCCTAACTCTGTGAGCTTGGGCAGGTTACTTATATCTCTTTTGAACCATGACTTTATTTTTAAATGGAAATCAAAACACAGCCTTTGCTCCAGTTCTGGGACTCGAGTGACATACCTTGTTGTTGCTCAGTCGCTCAGTCGTGTCCGACTCTTTCCAACCCCATGGACTGCAGCACGCCAGGCCTCCCTGTCCATCACCAACTCCCAGAGTTTGCTCAAACTCAAGTCCATTGAGTGGGTGATGCCATCCAACCATCTCATCCTCTGTTGCCCCCTTCTCCTCCTGCCCTCAATCTTTCCCAGCATCAGGGTCTTTTCCAATGAGTCAGTTCTTTGCATCAGATGGCCAAAGTATTGGAGCTTCATCTTCAGCATCAGCCCTTCCAGTGACTTTTCAGGGTTGATTTCCTTTAGGATGGACTGGATTGATCTCCTTGCTGTCAAAGGAACTCTCAAGAGTCTTCTCCAGCACCACAATTGGAAGGCATAAATTCTTTGGTGCTCATCTTTCTTTATTGTCCAACTCTCACATCCATACATGACCACTGGAAAAACCATAGCTTTGACTAGACGGACCTTTGTCAGCAAAGTGACGTCTCTGGTTTACGTTGTTTAATAAAAGCAGCATTTCATCATTTTCCTTCTCCTGTTGCTTGTTCTACCAGGTGGAAAGACTTAGCTCTGGGAAATCTCAGGAGAAGCATGGCGGCAGGGAAGTTTGAGCTGATGGGTCAGTAAAACAGGACATCAAATGAGATGCTGTCCTGTTCTTTGGTTCCTAGTATAACCGTGAGCGGCGCTGTGCTCAGCCATGTCTGACTCTTTGCAACTCCATGGACTGTATCCTGCTGGGCTCCTCTGTCCATGGAATTCTCCAGGCAAGAATACTGGAGTGGGTTGCCACTCCTTTCTCCAGGGGATCTTCCTGACCCAGAGATCGAGTTTGCATTGCAGGCAAACTCTTTACTGTCTGAGCCACCAGCCACCCAGTGAAATTTTTTTTTTTTTTTTTTGGCTGCACTGCATGAAATATGGGTGCTTACTTCCCTCACCAGGGATCAAACCTGTGCCCCTTGCGGTGGAAGTGCAGAATCTTAACCATTGGACCACTAGGGAATGCTCAGATGGTAAAGAATCTGCCTGCAATGCGGGAGACCGGGATTCGATCCCTGGGTTGGGAAGATGCCCCTGGAGAAGAGAATGGCTAGCCACTCCAGTATTCTAGCCTGGATAACAGCAACAATAACAATACTCTAACAATGTCTTATTGAATGCTTAATTTTCCCCCCAAAACATCACAAAGTACTTCTCACCCCTTTATTCTTTTCTTGTCCACAGTACCTCTCAAGATTTTCTTTTTCATCCCTAATTTAAAGTCCAAGGGTCTCATGGCTAATCTGAGAAGAATCCAGGACTTAAACTGAGGTGCACTGACGCTAGAGACCTTGCTGAAAATTGCGATTTGTTTGTAAGCAGTTCAGTATTCCCAAAGATGGCTAGTGTGCCTGTATCTCAGGATGCGTTTCAGGATTATCACAACATCGGCTGTGATGAGTCCACATTTCCTGTCGAGCCTGATGTTCATTTCGGGCCTGTCCCTTCATCTGCCCCTTGCCCCAGACATCAGGGCTTGGTGATCACCGAGCACATTTTTAGACGAACATCTGTGTCCTTGGATGGTTGCTGTGGATGCTTCTGTCTCCAGGTCTCTTAGCTCAGCAGCTAAGCTGGGGTCCCCTGAGTAGACGACTGCCTTGTCATCCTGGTTGAGCTTTGCCCACGCGGTTTCAAGTTGTGACCATTTTCAACCAAGCACTTTGTGAATGATCAACCGAGTGTTGGTCGCCCTGTTGGTTTCTACAGGCTCTTTGATGAGTTGCCCTGACACGGAAATGAGCTTTGCTGGGCCTCCCATTGTTGAGTCTCCTCGCTCCTCCAGATGTCAGCGCTGAGGTTTCACCCCCGCGCCCACACGCCGGGAACTGAGCCTCAGCTCACCTGGCCACCCCTCGTTTTGGACGTTGACCTTGAAGCCTCTTCCTTGGAGGCGCTCGTCTTGGGCATGGTGCAGACCCTTCCCCTCCGGGGCCGGGAGTGAGTGGCCACTCACTCAGTCACTGGGCTCCTGGCCAGCTGTCTCCCGGGGAAGTTCAGGGCCTCGTGCAGCTTGGCCTCCGGGGCTTCACCGGAAGGGCCCCTGGATCTCAAGCCAGGCTTCTGGTCTCACCTACCGGAATGGGATCTCGTGCTAAGCCGTTTCAGCTCCCTCTCTGCCTCTGCCACTTCACTCTCCCGTTTGAGGCTACTGAGACCCTGCTGTGTTGGTTGTCGTTCAGTCGCCGAGTCATGTCTGACTGCGGCCCCGTGAGCGGCAGCACGCCAGGCTTCCCTGTCCTTCACCAACTCTCAGAATTGCTCAAACTCACGTCCATGGAGTCGGTGATGCCGTTCAGCCGTCTCATCCTCTGTCATCCCCTTCTCCCGGCCTGAGCTCTCCCTCAGTGCTACGATTTTCCTTAAACGGGCTTTGGTTTGGGGCCCCCGAGCGGCTTCCTCTCCTGCTCACAAGGGCTGGCTTTCTGCCCCCGCCCACTGGGCTTTGCGTTTCAACCTCTCTGGGCTTCCCCTGCAAGATCGCAGTGTTTCTATGGAGCCTGCAAGCTGACTCTCTATTTCCCTAGGTTTTTTTTTTTTTTTAAACTTTCCCCTTAGTGCTGTTAAACATTCTCTTGCTAGCTTGAAGCCTGTCCTTTTGAAACTCACTGTGTCTGTCAGTTCCCTGGGGGAATCCCCAAGTGTTTAAACTATCAAAGCTGATTGTGCATCGGCCACTGATCCGAGGGGGACCCACCAGTCCATTTCCTGGCTCGAAGGGTCTGAATGCCCTGTGAATAGTTAAGTTATGCATTTGCATCTCCTCTAAGTCAGAATAACGGGTTGTTTTCTTGGTACGCTTGTGAACACAGGGGTGGATTCTTTCCAGATTGGCTGATGATCAACCAGGAAAATGCATGAAAAGAGCTGCGGGCCCCCCACCCCGGCTTTCTCTCCAGCTGCCACATGCCCCGGTGTCCGTAAGGAGGCTGGGCTGTGTGCGCAGACTCTGGGCCAGCTCCCAAGGCTCTGAGCTCCAGCGTAAGGCAGGCCACCTGAACAGAGCGGGGTGCCCTTCCACTCCGCAGGCACCTCTGCTGTCTCCCCACGCGGGCATCCTTCTGCTGCAACCCTGATGAGCGCGGGGGCGGGGGGGGCGCTGGAGGTCCGTCTGCACTCCACCCTGGCTCCTGACCCTCCAAGTGAGGCACAGGGACCCCTATGGGCCTGTGTGCGTCTAGCTTCTAAATCACGGTTCTCGGTTCCAGAGTTCCTGTTGAGTACAAAGGAAAGACATTTATCCTTTCTCCCTCAAACGCTCAGGCTTCCCAACATCTGAATCCTTTGGGGAATCTAGGACTGAAGACTGTTAAAAATGACTAGCAAATCCTGATCCGTGAGAGGTAGGTGTCACTGGAAACCTAAATTCTGCCTCGAGGGCTGTTTACCTCATTTCCTCCATATCATAAAAGTCAGCCTGGCCCTGTTTTCCTGCCTCCTAGAATATGCAGGCTGTCCCTTCTCCCGTTGGTTTTTATTCTTTTTTTTTCTTTTCTCATGGTGATGTGCTTCATGGAGAAACTCAGGAAGTTGATTTTAGCAAGCATGTGCATTCAAGTGCTGTTTGATCAGAAGAATCACAAGCTTTGGGGGACTCAAAAAATTCTACATCCACTAACAGGCCTAGAATCCAATCATGGTTTTATGGACCCACTGATTTCTTTCCAGAGTACTTACAAGAAACTTGAGCTTTTGACCCAGTATTTAAAGAAGAGACTCTTCACCACAACTCAAATGTCTCTCTTCTCGCCAAGTGGTCGCCGGCACCCATAGGGACAGAGGCTGCCGTCTAGACCTGGTTGACGCTGGTCCAGAGGCCCACACACTGAGCCCTCGGTGTCCGCCGTAAAGAGAAGACTCAGGGCGCCGTGCCAACGAAACCCAACCCTCACGCAATGCAGCTTGCGTCAGTAACTCCGAGTGGGAGCTTTCCTACAGGAATATTCTGGGGTTGCGCACTCTTTTAATCCCCCAAAGTCTCTCTTTTCCCCCAAATAGTGGCACCCCATTTTCCAGACAAACAACACCACAGCATCCTTTGGGGACCATGCTTGTGGTGGGCAGGGCCACCCACATCGTTCGCAGGGCTCAGGGGAAAATGAATTTCTGGGGACCCTGGTTCAAAAATGACTAAGAATTCCAAGATGGCAACAGATTGGCGTGAAACCACGTGTGAAGCCTTCTGAGGGAGGGGTTCCCTGGGCAACCGAGGGCTACATCCCTGAAGCTGGCCGCGGTGGTGGACGTCACTCTTCAGGCAAAGCTGAGGCATCCTTCCAACCAGAATGACTGTCTCCTCACAGTCCTAACATGCAAGTGTGTATCTTTACCCTGCAGCACAGGTTACGTCCTCACCCGGTGTGAGGACACAGCCCCCATCCTGTGTCCCCCAGCTCTGAAGCCCCTCCACCCCACAACTGTAAGTAGCGTGCTCAGTCGCACAGTCGTGTCCGACTCTTTGCGACCTGTAGCCTGCCAGGCTCCTCTGTCCCTGGGATTCTGGAGGCAAGAATACTGGAGGGGGTTGCCATGCCCTCCTCCAGAGGATCTTCCCCAGCCGGGGATCGAACCCAGGTCTCCTGCATCTCTTGCATTTCCTGCATTGCAGGTGGATTCTTTACCCACTGAGCCACCAGGGAAGCCCAACTGAAGGCAGACTAAACACCAAACTCAGACCTGGTTCTTTGGATTTGCAATGTCCCGAGGATCACATACTTTTTCGTCCTTGTCACTTCAGACAACTTCAGCCACAACATCCGTCTTCACACTGCGGGAGACAAGGCCGGGGTTGGCCGAACCTGCCGATGGGGAGGTGTTCGGTGTGGCCTCCACCGGGGTTCAGCTGGCCCGTCGGTGTCTCCACCGGCACGCTGCTGCCTGTCCCCTCCCTGTCTCATCCGCAGATGGCCTGTTTATCCGTGTTGCAGACTTTAGTCTGGATGAGTTTCCAGTTCAGGATGAAGACAAGAGGAAGACCCTGGCTGGCCCCGCATAAGGCTGTGGGACCCAATCTAGCCCCATTTCACAGGTGAGGCAGGAGCATGGAGCAGATGAGTGAATGGCCGGACCCACCGTGGACCCCAGAGGGCAAGGGGGCCAGCCTGTGAGCCCGCGCTGTCCCCCGGACGTGGCCCTTATTGCCACGAAATGACCACACTCCTTCCTTCATTGCCCAGTAAGCTCCATCTGAGTGGAGCTTCCTCGAACACTGGAGCGGGGGCGTGCAGGAGGGGGAAGGCCGGTGTCCACGCAGCTGCAGCTGCAGGGCTAGCTGGCTGGCTGGACAGACTGACAGGCCCCACAGTCTTGCCCTGAAGGGGGGCTGCAGTTTCAGGGGCCCTCACGCTCAGCCTCCCGAGCTCTGCAAGGAGTGTGTGCATGTGTGTGCATGAACCGCCCCTGGTTCCGTCCGCCCCTCTAGCGTCCTGTCTGAGTCTGCTCCTCGTGTTGGCCGTGTGTCGGTGGCCCCGGGCATTTGGGAACAGCTCAGGCTCCTCTCTGCGGGGCTGAGTCTCTGTGGTTTGCATCCTCCCCACGTTGTTAGGTCTGCACGTGACCCAGACCCCCGGAACCCTGAATGTGCTCTGATGCTGTGATGTACAGTGAGTAAGCAGGCGAAGGGTGTGTGTCCAGGGGAGAACGTGTCCAGGCAGGACAGACTCTGGGAGGAGCAGCGGTGCGGACAGGAGTCTAGCCTGTCACCAGCTGGAACAGGAGGTGACGTGCTGGTCTTGGCAGCCGTGGGTCAGGACTGGAAGGTCTACACTCCATTTAGGAGCACCTGCCTTTGTGCGTGTTAAGTCGCTTCAGTCGTGTCTGACTCTTTGCAGTCCCGTGGACTGTAACCCACCAGGCTCCCCTGTTCACGGGATTCTCTAGGTAAGAATGCTGGAGTGGGTTGCCATGCCCTCCTCAGGGGCTCCCGACCCAGGGATCAAACCTGCATCTCTTACATCTGCTGCATTGGCAGGCAGGTTCTTTACCACTGGCACCACTGGGAAGCTAGGAGCATCCAGGGGCTGTGTGAAGCCTTTGGGCCCCTGTGGAAAGTTGCCTGCTGCAGTAGGTGGGGTGGTTTAGAATGAGGACACTGGGGATGCTCACAGGAGGAGGATGTGGGGCTGGATGGAGGACGGGACCCAGGGACTGATGGGGGTCCAGGGGCAGCTGCCTGGGGGCTTGTGCATCTTCAGTGAGAAGAATGTCTGTGTCTCCCGCCACTCCCCCCACCCTGCAACTCACATGATGAGCTGAAGAGCTAATGAGCTCACAGGAATGAACGGAAGCCCGAGCCCGCAGTTTGATGGTGTCTGGAGGGGCCTCTGGGTGCTGATGGGCTTCCACGAGGTCATGAGGTGGGGGGCCATCCTGGGATCAGTGTCCTTCTAAGGAGAGGCGGGCGCTCCCCGGCCCCAGGGTGAGGGTGCTGTCTGTAGGAGAGCTCTCCCCAGGACCCGGACCTGCCTGCTCCTCGGCCTTGGACATCCAGCCTCCAGAGCCCTGAGGGGTAAGCGACTCTGCAGCTTTGTGATCGCGGCCTAAGCTGTCGGAGCAGCAGAGGGCAGGCTGGGTGCAGGGGTGGCTGTGGTCGCTTTCAGAGACCAGGGACATTTCTGAGCACACGTGAGTCCAGGCAGCTCAATGCTGAGGGGGGTCACAGGCCTGAGATGCAGACGCCAGACTGGGTGTGGAGTGAGGGAGGGGACAGAGAAATTGCAGAAGACCCCCAGACACTCAGCCCTTGGCTTTGAAGCTCGGATCCTCTCTGGACTGGAGCAAACACAAAAAGTGTCGGGGCAGGGGCAGACGTCAGGATGGACGAGGGGTGGGCGGCCAGCAGGTGGGTCCGGGTGTGGGGAGGGGTGGCCAGAGGGGCAGGTGGGCAGCCGCAGGTCTGAGGTGGGGGAAGGGGCGGCCGGCAGCCTGACTTCCTGTGTGCC